TCAGGGCTGAAGACTACCGAAGGCAAGTCAAAGAATACCATGATGCCAGGGTTAGACCGAGAATGTTCCAGGTCGGGGACCTGGTTCTCAGAAGGAGGTCTGCTAGCAAGCCCTTGGAGGGTGGAAAATTTGCCAAAAACTGGGAAGGGCCTTACAAAATTAAAGGGATCATTGGGTCCGGGACTTACAAGCTATGTACTCCTAAGGGGAAACCGATAGAAAGGGTGTGGAATTCTGAGCATTTGATGAAATTCTACCAGTAGGTTTGTAATCCCGTTTTAAGAATTAATTCAATAAAAGTTTGTTTTCTTTCACAAATGTCCTTATTTGCGAAGGTTTCTTAACCGCAAAAAAAGCAAGGTTATGCCTATTTTTGGCACACACAAAAAAAGCCGAAGTTCAAATTCAAGACTCATCCGAACATTCTAAAGCTCAACTTAGTCTTCCCAAAAGACAAGAGCAGGAATACACGACCTTTTTCAAGGTCAAACAACCTTATAGGCAAAATCAGATTTCCTCAAATAGGAAAGGATGGCCTTCTTCAAGGCTAAAACTGATTTACAAAGGTTAAAGGATGAATTAAAGGAATTTACTTTGCACCGGAGAGGCCACCAGGCCTCGATAATTAAAGAGGTTTAGTACTAAGGTCTAAGTTACCTATGGGAAACCCCGCCCTAGTTTTGGTTCAGACAGTAAGAACATGACGGTTAGGATTGCTAAAGCTTTCCAAAATGGTTCAGAAATTAAGAACCTAAGGTAAGCAACCTTGACCTGAAAATCAAGGCCTAAACTATAAGGACAAGGTGATTGAAAATAAACTTGTTGATCCAGCAGAGATGGTCATACCTTAAGGTCATCCCAGAGCTCCCAGATCAAGCAAGATTCCTGAATGAAGGACTGACTTCCCAGAGGAATCAGCAAGGATGTAAGGCAGCCTAAATCAAGGATGGGCAACATCAACTGCACTCAAGGAGGGTAGACAAGCAGGTAATCTACTTCAAACGCACAAATAAAGGCAAAAGATGGACATGCATATATGTGCAAAGAGTAAAAGTGCATAAAGTAGGATGTTTGTTTACACAGCCACCCCTAGGGTGGAAAACACATCAAGCACGCAGGCTTGGCAAAAGATGTTTGTCAGAGGAAAAAATGTAATAATAAAGTATTTACAAGACAAGAGCCAAGGCGTCCCCCTGAGTGCCGCCTAAAAAGTGGACGAACTCCATCAGAATCATGCAAGCTCTTCTCTGTAGGCAAGGAAACAGCCTGGGATGCCAGCCTCTTCCCAGCTTCCCTCGTCAGGGTAAGCTGGAGGTCGGCAGCTGGCGTGGCGAACATCAGCACCGTTTCCTTGATTACTCCCAGTCAGGCCATCTCTCCTCCCCTAGAACAGGTTAGCTCATAGTCAAGAACGGTTATCAAAGTGCAAAAAGAAACAGAAAGCTAGAGCAAAAGCAGAAGATACCAACCTGGAGAAAACGTGAGCACCACCTTCCCATCGTCGCCCACATGGTGGCCCAACAAGTAGGGCGATCCCATGTCAAGAAGACCAACAGCGTACTCAGTTCCCTCATTGAGAAGGGGCACATCCCATCGGCGAATGAGCTCTCCCCATTTGTTGGCAAACGGCAATTCACCACTTGACGGCGTCACCCACACCCATTTTTGCTCCCAATTTCGGTTGAAATCGGGGCAGGGCGGAACCTCGAACAAGTGGTGGTAAGGCCTCTGGGAGAGGGCGATGAAACCCTTGGCTGCCAAGGCGTCAGATCGGGCTGCGTAAAAGAAGTGCCGGAAGAGTTTCATGTTCAGCCTGATCCGCAGATGCATGCATCGAGCCATGAACCCGGCCAGGAGAAGATGTGTCACTGGGGCAAATTGGACGGGAACAACGCCATAGTATGAAAGTATGCACAACACAAAGGGGTGGAGAGGAAACCTAAGCCCCATACGCAGGCTGGATAAGTGAACCTCGAAATGAAGGTGAGAGGGAGGATCTGCGATGTTTTGACCAAGAGTAGGGCGTGAACAAGTCACACTGGGACCCGCAAGGGCAACAGCGGCTTGGATTTCTTCATCCGAAATAGCCAGGGCGGGGATGGCCCGCGCTCGGCTGGCTGGAAGGTGGAAGTGGGTCTCAGAATCGTGAAGAAGTTTAAGGATAGAGGAAGGTTTAGACGAAGACATGACCGGTTCTTTCTAGGATAGGGCTAAGAGTGCTAGAAGAATTGCGAAGAAGTATTTGCTTTATAGTGGAACCCTAGAACGCTTTGGAAAGCGTTGGAGCCGCTTGGGAACCGTTTCGAAAACTGTTTCAAAACCGCTTGGGAAAATCGCATTGAGGCACTCGAACAGTCCGAAAGATGAAAAGATGGATTGGAAAATGAGCCCGGCTGCAAGCCTACTTCAACGCAATGAATGATAGGCAGCGCTACAGTTGCCTATGAAAGATTCAAAATTCGAAATCAGATAAACCGCTCCATTTTACTCCTCCAAAATTCAGCCCTGCTAATTTTGAGGAGTAGGGAGCTCGTGATGGTACCATGGACTCGGACCATGGCCCAATTACGTGATTCAGCCCATAACGGGATTAGCCTAATTAACAGGATCAGCCCATCAACGGGATCAAGGTCGAATATGCCGCCATGCCCAAACAGGATCAGGCCCACGATAGGAAGTAGGAACCCACAGCCAGGTTGGACTGCACAGCAGACCTCGAGCCTGGGCGGAGTTCCACTGAGGCCGGGATATTCCTCGGGTTACGTGGCAAGCAGTTATTCAACACAATTATTTGGAAACAGGCAGGACTCGTCCGGAGTTTGAAAACAAGAAGGAGACAATTAATGCTTGATGAGTTCTATTTCGAGCAAGAATATAGTTCATTAATTAGCATTTATTGTATGAGAATCCTCCTAAAATAACAACTCCTAAAGTCTATAAATACTTCTTGTAAACACCCTACTAGGGTGGGAGAATCTTTTACCATAAACAAACATTTGTGAAAAAGCCGACATCCCGATCTTAAAGATGGAAAAAGAAGTACTAGTTCGTGGGCGTAGTAGACGAAATGGAAACACAATCACAAATTTCCACTTCCGTGACGGAATCTATTGTGAGGTGTGTGAGTGTGTTTTGATTATTTTTATTATCATTAAAATTGTACTCCCTCAGTCCCAAATTGTAAGATATATTTACTATTCACTCGGTCAACATAAATTACTCTTAATCTTTTACTTTATATATCAAAAGTTTATGAAATTTGAATTATTTTTTGCAGGTTTTGTAACGATTTTAATGTAGTTTCTGAATGTGTAAATTTTATTTTCTAAAACTAATTTTTGAGTGTTGACAGGGATCAATTTGTTTTAGCGTCGGTCAAACATCGTAAACCGTAAAGTATCTTACAAATTGGGACAGAGGGAGCATTCCATTATTTTGATTATATTATTTTGTACTATGTATATTAGGTTGTTGACAAGATGATTGTGGAGGTGAATAATCGTTTTTCAAAAGCAAGTATTGAGTTACGTGTATTGCATGCTTGATCCATAAAATTCTTTTCTCCCACTTTGACATTGATAAACTAATTCATATGGCTGAAATGTATCCGGAAGACTTTTCTTCTACCGATTGTGATATAAGCAAGCAACTCTTGAAACATACATTCATGTCGTACAAAGTCAAAGTCAATTTCGTGCAATTGAAGATTTGGGTAGTCTTAACATGAACCATGTGTTTTCTTTGGTATATCGCCTTGTTGAATTGGTGTTAGTTCTACCAATTGCAACCGCTTCGGTTGAAAGAGTCTTTTCTAGCATGAAACTCATCAAGACTGATTTACGGAGTAGAATGGGAGATAAATGAATAAATGACAACTTGGTGATATACATGGAGAAGGAAATACTTGCTAAAATTGACAATGAAGCAATTTTGCAACGTTTTCAACATATGCAGACACGCCGCACACAATTGTCTCAATTGGTTTCTTCTTCTAACAGTTAATTGTAGTGTAATGTACTCTTCTCACAATTTTTATATTCGGTAAACTTTAATTACAATTTATATTTTTGCATTTTATAATATTTTTAGCCAACCGTTACTTTTTGTTTTGGTTCCACCCCTATTCCTTCCTCACATACTCCCTGTAAACTACTTATTTCATCTTTATCTTCATTCTTTCACAGCTTTTCCATATTTTTTTTTGATAAATGTTCCTACATGCTAGTATCCCTAACAAGATGCAACATTTGAAACGGTTAAGCAAATGTCACTAAGGATGTTTTTACTGTTTTAAGTCCCAGACCAGACTTCCATAGTTATAAAATACGCAACGACCAAACATTTACAAGACCAGGCCAGAGCCATTCAGACCCGACCAGACCAAACCCGACTTAAACAGATCAAAACAGACCAGCAAATTTCAATCTAAGTAAAAACATCCTAACAAATTTGTTTAGATAAAGGACTGCAAGCAGAGTCACTAACCCATTATAACCTTATAAAATTGGGATGGAGTCGCTAATTGGTTATAGGATTGGGGCTGGGGTCACAAATTTTCGAGTCACTGAGAAGCTTTGAGAAGGAAGGATATTAAGGATGTTTTTACTTGGGCTATTTTTAGTTCCAGATCGGACTTAAACAGACCAGACTTAAACAAACCAGACCAGACTTGACTTCCGCAATTATAGAATATAAAGAGACCAAACGTTTACCAAACCAGACCAGACAAGTTCAGACCAGATTTAAACAAACCAGATCAAGTCAACAAATTACAGTCCTAGTAAAAACATCATAACTGCTTGTAAGACGTTAAGTAAACAAGGATCCGTCAGGTGTAGTCACTGGGCATGACCCAATCACTTTTAGCTACTCCTGATTCCTGATTTATTACTTTCAATTACACAATCTTTCACTTTTTTTTGCATGGAATGGTTGGTGACATCCATTCATTCATGGTAGTTACCTTATTGTAAACACACGTGGACAGTACATTAGTCATATTACTCGAAAAAATGATTTTTACTCGGCGTTTTTATCTTTCAACCTCTATTTAATAGTTTACATTAAAAAAACACCTTGTTTAATTATTAGAGTTATAAAAGAAAAACAAGAATGGCCTTTCAACATCAGGGACCATTTTATTTGGTTACATCATCATTTCAACCAAGATTATTATTAATAGTAGTAAACTCTAATTAAGAACGACCTTTATCCATACGGTTATGACCTGTTCCATTCTGATATTCTACAGCTGAGCAGGCTGCAGCTTGCTGGGAGTGTCGGTGGTGTCACCGCAAGTCGGCTGAGCAGGCTGCAGCTTGCTGGGAGTGTCGGTGATGTCACCACAAGTCGGCTCAGCAGGCGGTGTACCAAGGGCACCAGCCTCTTTTAGCATTGTCAAAAGCTCCCCCTTCCTGTGTTTCTCCACCATTGCTTCGGTTTTTAATGTACATAAAAAGATACAGCAAAACAAATGTATCACTTCACCACACATAAGTCCTCCATAAATTTTAAAACTTATTACCCCTCGTTCTTAAACAAGTGCCCAAAAAAATAGTAAATCAGTTCTGTATTGTCAGGATACACCTATTAAATTTTACTTTGGCCACGTGCTACTCTTACAGATTTATTGAGCATTTGAGCCCTACCTATATTATCATATTGGATGTATTTGTAACTTTTCTTTGCCATCTACATGAAAACTCTCTTAAGGAAAAAGTCTCCTAAGCGATAAGGCGCCGGCCTAGGAGACAACTAGGCGACTAGTCACTTATATTATATTATACATATAATATAATCATGTATGTATATATATACATTATGTATAATGTATTACTAACTAAATTGTATATAACTTGGAATTGAAACTCACAATTAATAATTGAAAACAAGGTTTTTTAACTACATCATCTCTACGACCTTCAAAAATATGGACACTTGGAAATTAAAGGTAACCCATTCATTAATATGTCTCTGTAATAAATTAGAAAATAATTCTTTTCATAAATTTATAGAGAAAAGGGTCAAATAAGGCCTTTTACTATTATGAAATAGTCACATAAGGCCATGCACTCAATAAAGTGTCATATAAGTACCTCTACTTGTAAAAAACAATCAAATGAGTCCTAACGATCTATTTACAACCTCCTAATCCCGGTTTTAGCTTACATGTCGATTTTTTTTACTTGTATTTCAACCAATCTTAGTTAAATATTCGACGTATGCCGTATAATATATTCTAAAAAGATGGTCACAAGTACGCTAAAACCGGGATTAAGAGGTGTTAAATAGGTCATTAGGACCTATTTGATTGCTTTTTACAAGTAGAGGTACTTATATGACACTTTATTGAGTATGTGGCCTTATGTGACTATTTCATAATAGTAGAAGGCCTTATTTGACCCTTTTCTCTAAATTTATATATTGACTGATAAAGAATAAGAAAAGATGATGAACTTAAAACAAAATAATTAAGTAATATGGACAATATTAATTTGTGTAAAAGGAAATAATATTAAATAATGACACTTTTTTCCAAAAATCATAATGTTAAATAATAAATAATGAACTGCTGACTCAGCAATTCAATATGCTTCATAGGAGCACACGTGTATGTGACTATATACGAATAATATATATATATATATATATATATATACACACACACACACATAGGGGAGGGTTCTAGTGAAAACCCCTCTTAGAATGAGAACCCTTTTTAAAATGAGAACTTCTGATCTCCATCATTCAATTTTACAATCAATGGCTAATAATGACAATGTGGCATTTTTGTAATTATTCAGGATTAATTGCAAAAAAGTCCCATTTGAATTTAGAGTAATTATGAATGTGACCCCATGTGAATCATAACCAATGATTGCAATAAATGAAAAGTAGAGATTTAAAGTTCTCATTTTAAAGAGTTCCCATTCTAAAAGGGGTTCTCACTAAAACCCTCCCCTATATACATATATTGATGGGAAAATCGCATATGTGGTCCCTCAATTATCCACGAAATTAAAATCTCAGACCTGCATTTCTGATATTGTAAATGTCGCCCCTCAATTGTCCAAATTGTTGTAAATGCGGTTCTTTAAGTAGTGAAATGTGCTCTCGTCCACATTGTATATTTCACCCTTCAAAAGGAATACATTTACAGCATTTTGGACAATTGATGGGTGACATTTACAATCTCAGAAATACAGGTCTGAGATTTTAATTTCGTGGCTAATTGAGGGACCATATATATTGATATCTATTTAATTAAGTATAACTATAAAACTTAATTAAAAATACTAAAAAACCTAAACAACTAAGACGAGAAGAGAGTAAAACAGGGCAAAAAGGGTGAAACTGCTTCTTCCTGGAATAGTTCGTCTGCTTCCTGTGGCAAGTCTTCTACGGCGATGGCCAACGAATACATCGAAGACTTCGTATTTCGTAAGTTTATTACGGAGTAGATTATTTTGGGGCTTTGGAGATTGGGCTCTATTGTTAATTAATAATTAAATTAGTTTCCCCAATTAAAGCCTAAATTTATTTTATTTCTGGGTAATCTGGGATTCTGGGCTTCGTCCTGTTCGAATTGGGAAAAAGGCGCTACTTGTCGTCATCTTCGCGCCTGGACGACGACTACCACGCTTTTTCTTCTTCCGGTAACGCGAGTAACTATGGCGAGCTGTCCCTAATGCCAGGACGCCTAGTCGGCGATGCCTAGGCGATGCCGTGACAAGCTAGGAAAGGACAAAAAATAGATTTCCGAAGAGGGCATTTTTGGGGTGGCATGAGTAGCGCCATTTAAGCTAATAATAATTTATTGATTTTGTAACAAGCTATCCAACATACCTCCCGTTAATTCTAGGTATTAAGAGGACACAATCAAAACCAAAAATGAATGAGGGACAACGTAGTCATTTCACTATGAATTGTGCATTGGAGAAGAGGACCACCACATATACATGAACAAAACAAAATGTGCTCTACCTTGGGACACTTCGCCAATGTTTTCCTTTGCTTAAAAAATGTTTCTTTTTCTCTTTAAAAAATATATAAATTTCAAACCGATGCTTCTCCTTAAATTAAGCATAAAAGAAGCTGTAAGTAAGAGGAGTGCTTAAACAGTTAAACTTGACTTTCATTTTTTCTAATACACTTAAAACATGTTTTCACCAAACACTTTTAGATTGTACTTTTCCAAAAGCACTTTTGTTTTCAAAGTAAGGGCGTGTTTGGAACTGATTTTGCTTCTGCTTCTTTTTTAAAGCAGAAGCAGAATCATTTTTGGTCTCCTCAAGCTTCTAAAAAAATTGTTTCTAGATGTAAATTAGAACACTAGAAGTACTTCTAGACTTTCACCCAAACACTCCAACTTCTGCTCCTTGAAGGAGCAGAATCAGTTTTAAGAATCAGATCCAAACGCCCCCTAACTTCACAATTTTATCAACTTTTACTACCAACCCTTTTTCCAATAATCACTAAAATAAATCACTGATTAAAAGTAGAAGCAAACTTGGGTCATTTTGGTCTATTTCAGTTTTATCTTATTCACTTTGTTTTTTAAAGGTATTCAGTTTGTTAATCAATGATGACTTATCATTATTTTGTTCAGTGGTTCAGCCCTATAGTAGACAACATATTTTTAATGTTGTTGTGGTTGTTATTTATTATTACTATTATTATTATTAATTAGAAGGTAATAAAGAGACACATTTGAAAGATGAGTGTTGACCGGAATGGAGATTTTATCGAACAACAATTAAGTTTGCATTATTGTTTGACGTAGAGAGTAATGGGTGGTGAAACAATGTCACATTCAAAAGATGAGTGTCGCTAAGATGTGTATGTTGTGTTAGATGTGTGGAGCTATTAAAAAGGACAGCTTGAGGAATGAGACACACACAAAAAGTGAGGAAGCACCTATTGAATATAGGGAAATCGCCTTGAGTAGGACTAAACTAGTTTGTATTCCAAAATAGGACTATCATGCTTGTTATCCCTCATCGTCGTCATCATCATTATCCCAGTGTCGCAAAGGCTCCCACCAACGGTGGGGTAAGGGGTCGGAGAGATTGTTTCCGAATAACCCATGGTGAAAATCGCGTCGAAAATTGCATGAACTGACTGCTGCTTCATAACAAAGAAGCGCAAACAGTTAAGTGAGTCATTTTGCTTTATTTCATCATATTCACAAGCCAAAAAATAGTGAATCTTTGGCTCTATTGCAAATTATTCCCTAAATAAGAATAATTATTGTCATGTTTTGGTAGTACCAGACTTTAAACATATCGGTATTTTCCAAGCTTGACAATAATTACTCTTATTTAGGTAATAAAAACATGGAAGTCCTACTTTGGAATTCTGAAACATTTTTACTCTTATTTCAAAAAAAAATCCCTTAAAATGTGAGTCTCTATTGCGGTGATTTGACCATGTGTGTAAAATACCGAGTGATGCACCTATTAGACGAGTTGAGAAGTGGTGAAAAAAGGCGGGGGAGAGTGAGAGGAAGACCCATATAAACATGGATTCAAGGACTCAACAGCGTGATGTGTTTATGGAAGAAATAAACTAGTCTTGAAAATTATGTGAATCAAAAAAGGATCATGCAAGAACTAATCATAACAAATTCGTTGAATAGGAATAATAAGTATATTAATGAATATGAGAGTTTTAATGTATAAGAATAAGAGCATAGTTGATCAAGTTTTTTCGTGTCCTACAAAGAACATCAACTAGTCTATTTATTCACAGACTTGCTTCTCCGTCTTGTTGTCTAACCATCCGGCGATATTGCCTCCTAATCCTTCGCTCATGGGAGTTCATTGGCCGGCTCTATCTTCTTCTTTCAAAACGGGTCATTCTTATCAATTGACTTGGCCATCCTCTATCCATCCGCATCTGGCTACCACATGTCTTCTCAAAAGACTTGGCCTGATCTCCTTTTTTTATTTGTTAAATGCCTTTCTGGCCCAACACCAAGCAATTCTAGGGCCCAACAATTGCCCTCATTCATGATGACGAGGATTGATGTGCAGGAAACGAGAGTATGAGACTGTCATCATGAATTTAAATGGCCATTACTCCTTGAACATCGCATTTTTCTGCCACTATCTTGCCTATTGAACCATCCCCCTTCGTTATTTCGAATTTATTTGTACCTCTTTGTTGTCATCTTCCTCTTCCGCTATGGCAGCAGGCAGCCACCAAAACTTTCTCCTACGAAGATATTAGATCCAAAGAACTCTAGACCTGTTGCCCTATCGATAAGGGAAATCACCGCTATTCAGTCATCGTTTGGTTTTCCTGAAGTGACGTGAATCCACTTTCCCAAATAAGACAAAAAGGTCGATGGGTACTGCCCTAGTTGGGTTAGCTTCTTTGCCTACCCTTTCAAGATTGGGATGTTATCCCCGTTTTCTCCACTGGTCCAGGGATTCCTCGCAATCGTCATGATGCCCCCGGGCTCAAATGATGCCCCAAACATGGCGAATTCTCAAAGATAATGAAGTGTTAAGCGAGAAGTTCAACATCCCCTTTGAAGCGTTGGATATTGGTTACACCTACGATTTACGCACATCTAGGATCGGTCGCTACACCCTGACTGCCAAGGACAACCGTGAAGCCATCGTATCATGTGTCGACAAGGTCAACGACCGTGGATGGCAGACCAAGTTCTTCTTCGTCCAGAGATCTTCCCTGCATCCTGATGGTTCATTTCTTGAAGACGCTTGGCTAAATGGTAACCACTTCATTCTGTATGTATATTGATGTGTCTTAGTTTAATGGTTGAGGCTGTCGTACAGCGTCTGTTTTTGCCCCTATTGTTGTCAGCGTGAGTATTATTGTTCTCTGTCGATTTTAGGTGATAAAGGCTCGATGTCTCTACGACAAGGGCTGGAGGCTGAGGAACGGACCAGGTGGATGCTCGTTATTGGCATGCAGGACGGATTGTACCCCTCTTGATACCCAGGTAAGCCTCTTTCCAAATCTTTTGTGGTCCGGCACTGGTCAGGACTATCTCTTGATACCACAAAGCCGGAGACGATCTCTTTGTAACGTCTGTCGAACTTTTAAACTGAACCAAGGTCCTGCATTTATCTTGTTAGAAAACTCATCCAAAGGAATTGACGTCGGTGACGAGAATAGCAAGAGGGTAGTAGCTCTCCTGGCCATTTTCTCTGTAAAGCTGCTCTTCCTCCTCCTCCTAACACCCGAGTCACAAGATCAACTGCTGCTTCGTCTGGTACTTCCTTCGTTTTCCATACATTTTAAATTTTCATTTGCTTTGGTTTACTTACTTATATATCCTTCATTATCTCTGGTTTTAGCTGCAACGTCTTTTACTAGAGTATGTAAGGCACTGGCCCCTGAAGAACTACTGAAAGCAGCATCGAAAAGGAAGCCACTTATCCTGTTCAGCACCTGCATCCCAAGATGGCCAAGCATACGCCTTGCAAGAATCTTCTCCCTTGTTCCAATTCCAGCCAGATCTCCTTCCGTTGCTTTGAATCTCTCATATTCTAGCGAATTTTGTCGCCTGGAGAACGCATTGGTTATGAGGAAAGGGATTTCCCAACTGCTTCTGCCCTAATGATTTGTTTATGGCCTCCTCTCCCTTTGCTTTCCAAGTAGACGCCGTGATTTCTTACTATAATTTGTGAATTTATTGGCTTGATCTTGGCGGAACCGTCGTGCCTGGAACTCCGGTAACAAATTGTCAAAAATATTTTTTCTAGGTTCTGGACAGAGGATGATGGGTTGGATGGTCCTGGATTTCCAAAGATCCTGGTATTGGACTGAGGAATGAACAGCTCTGATGGGGCTGAAATGACAGTCGACGTCGGCATGCTCTAGGGTGAAAGAGTATAAAGTATAAACCCGTCAACCTGGGTCTGTCTTGCAACGATTCCGGGAAGAAACAAGTCGGAATGTTGGGAGTAGGTGTCACTTCTGGAATAAGAGGTATATAGGGTATAACCTAGGAGATGACAGTGGATTGCGGTTGGTTGGATGGCGAGACGCCTAGTGTCAAGGAGATGGGCTCTGTGGTACTAGACGGAGGTTCTGGGTGAAGCCTAAATCCAACCTTGTCGCCACAGTCATGGCGTCGCTTCTTCGGTTAAACCTTGAATTGGAAGCTATGGACGCCACGTCGCCACATATTGGACTTGAGATCGCAGCAAATCATTCTCTCGGTGGATACATGCGATTCTTTGAGCCGTCTCCTGCTGGATCTCTTCCTTTGCGGTCTCGAGCTGCTCATGGAATTCTATCAACAATGAATTGCTAATTCTGGCCATAATCAGTCTTTCTCTTGCACGATGCCCCACGGTAGGCGCCAAATTGTTTATGCAAGAAATAAACTAGTCTAAAAAATTATGCGAATGGAAAAGGGATCTGCAAGAACTAATCATAACAAATTCATTGAATAGGAATAACAAGTATATTAATGAATATGAGAGTTTTAATGTATAAGAATACGTGCGTAGTTGATCGAGTTTTTTCGTGTCCTACAAAGAACATCAACTGGTCTATTTATTCACAAACTTGCTTCTCCGTCTTGTTGTCTAACCGTCCGGCGATATTGCCTCCTAATCCTTCGCGCATGGGAGTCGTTGGGCGCCTCTATCTTCTTCTATCAAAATGGGTCATTATTATCAATTGACTTGGCCATCCTTTATCCATCTGCATCGGGCTACCGCATGTCTTCTCCAAAGACTTGGGCTGATCTCCTTCTTTGATTTGTTAAATAGTTTTCTGGCCCAACAATATGCTACTTTTTGGGTTGGATGAGAGTGACTTTGAAGAGGGCGGAGAAGAGGCGGCATATTCGAACGGAGGATTGATCTCATTACATCTTTTCTATCTCTTTTTCTTTTTTTCGTTCCTATGTTCTTTATCTTTTTACTTTTTTTACCTTTAACTTCATCTAATCTTTTTTATATTTTTATCTTTCTTTTTATCTTATCTTGCCTTTTTTATATCTTTTTATCTTTTTAGCTCTGATTTCATATGTTCTTTCATGTTAGCTAACCTCAAACTCTTTTGGGACTAAGACTTATACGTTGTTATTGAGAAGACAATAAAACTTGATGTTCAATGCTACAAGTATAGCCAAACAGGTAATGAACTTGGTGTTCAATGCTAATCCAGAATCTAATATACTACCCTCCATACCCGTATAAGGTTCTTGTTCATTATTCATCTGGTCAACTTTAATTGTTCTTAATATTTTACTTTATTTATCAAACTTATATCAAATTTGAGTTTTTTGCGACTTCATAAAACTTTTTATGTAGTTTCTGAATATGTAAATTTCATTTATGGAAAATTATCTTATTATTGATCAGGATCAATTAACTTTATGGTCATCGTAAACCAAAACAGGAACCTTAGGTGTGGAAGAAATACTCATAATGAGCTCTTCTGGAGAACCAGATGGTAAAATGGTGGGTAAGTAGGTAAGAGACTCTAAACAAGCTACCGTAATTCATCCAAGGGGATAGACTTGAGAATTTTATCCCATAAGTGAACCGGATAAGAAAGGAGGTAAGTAGCACAATATCTTGCATATTACTCCCTTTATAACAAATAGAAGAAGGGAAAAGTGGTGTACCATCACAGCCCCCTACGTGCTTCCCTGCAATGAAAACGTTTGGCACAGTCCTCTGATCCGTCCACTCAAGTAGCGCATTCTGAACGACAGCCCCATCACCTTCAATCAATCAGCAAAACATAAACTATGAAACTGCTGTAAAGGCTGAAAGAAGATGAGCCTAAAAAGATTATTGTGACTCAAGAATGGGTTAAAGGGCGGGGCATGCATGCATACTTCGTTTGTCAAGCTCAATGACTTCTTTAGCAGCACCAAGCTCCGAAAGAAGGTCCTTCACTCTAGTGCAGAATGAACAATGTGTTTTACTGCGTAAAAAAGAGGCACCAGTCATTGTTCCTTCTCTTCACTCTTATCACCCTTGTAGCAACACCATCTTAACGCTAAAGGTGAATCATGTTTAGTTTAGACTGTTAAGTGCTGACCTGATGAATATGTTTTTAGGACCCTCAAAACTTTTAGGTGTGTGCTGTCACCCTCAAAACTTTTAGGTGTGTGCTGTCACCCTCAAAACTTTTAGGTGTGTAATGTCTATTCCTTTTTTTTTAAATCACTTTCTTTAGTACATACTCGATTCACCAGATGCGATATTATAAACACATTAAGAAAAAAATAGAGTAAGATCCGGAAATGTTTACACTAGGGCCTAGGCTGCCACAGAAAACACATTAAGAACAGAACCCAGTAAACTGTTCGTCCGATGTTGGGGGTCCTCGAGGATGGGGTGTCATCCTTTTAAGAACAGAAAGACCGACCCAGACAGCATTGAATATTCAAGCTGGACCACATTTTTTCCACGCAAAGAGAAGAGGTACTTAGTTCAACGTACTTGTCGCACAAATAGCCTACCCAAACAAAAATGTGAGACTTAAATTTCAACCCTTTGTTTTGTCTTGCAATATAACCCCTACTTTAAAAAAAAAGTCAAATTAATTATGAATATAGAATTAAATAAGAACCCTGACGGAAATTAAGACAAATATGTGATGCCTGCTTTTATATTTTTGATTGATTGATTTGCCAAACATGTATGATTGCAAAAATGTAGGCCCTCATTCGGCGCAACTTTGTGTAGGCTTGAAGTTTTCCTAAAGTTTTGACCAAATATGAAAGGGGTAATTTGAGTTTGCACCCCATATTATTGTCAAAATTGGACTTTGCACCCCGTTTTTAAAAACCTTTGTTTTTGCACCCCAACCCCATATGAAAAGACAATAATGCCCCTCCATTAACAATTGTTTTGGCCTTCAACATATTCATGATCGAGGGACATTTTTGTCTTTTCATACAGGGTTGGGGTGCAAAAACAAAAGTTTTTACAAACGGGATGCAAAGTCCAATTTGAACAATAATATGGGGTGCAAACTCAAATTATCCCAATATGAAATGGGGTAATTTGAGTTTGCACCCCATATTATTGTCAAAATTGGACTTTGCACCCCGTTTTTAAAAACCTTTGTTTTTGCACCCCAACCCCATATGAAAAGACAATAATGCCCCTCCATTAACAATTGTTTTGGCCTTCAACATATTCATGATCAAGGGACATTTTTGTCTTTTCATACAGGGTTGGGGTGCAAAAACAAAAGTTTTTACAAACGGGGTGCAAAGTCCAATTTGAACAATAATATGGGGTGCAAACTCAAATTATCCCAATATGAAATTCATTAGTCAATTTTAACTGCATTGGTATGACAGACCTATAAAGTTGAAGCAAATTTTACACAAAATAGGTTTTGAAGTACTAGATTGCAAAAAAAAGGAGTTCTCTTTTTTTCTGGTATTCTGATCACCGGACAACACAATAAATCAGTGAATCGGATGGGAAACATTGATTGAGGGATATCTGGTATTTAGACTTTGTAATTAATTACGATTACTTTATTCATCAATAGTAATAAGAAGAGAATCTAAGTCCGGGAAAAAGATTAAATGGTTGAATTTCGTAGTCACTGGGCTCAATCGGAAGGTACTCTTATTGTTAATTAACAAGAAAACCCTAATTTATGATTGCGCAATTGAACTCGAGTAGGTGAGAACCACAAATAGAAGCATGTACAACTACAGATCACCTGGGCCAATTTTGAACTATAAAAGAAGGTCATAGAAAAAACTATGAAGCACAAGAAGGTCAGGAAATGAAGATTTGAAGGTAAAACAAAACAAAACAAAACAAAAGAGGGGAAATAATGCAAATTGAAGTTTCGACCTGAACACGACTACGGGGTGGGAAGAAACCATATGTTTGACTTTGTAAAGAGCCTTCTCTGTCTCTTCTTTGCTCGCCATCTTGTTGTTCATACTCAACAGCGATCCCATCCGGGCGGCCCCTTTTATCTTGTGTGTATAAACCGAATGCAAAAAAATGATCGAGTGTTTGGAAGTGATTCCAATTTGCACAAACTGTCACCCCAACTTCTAAATTAGAGTATCAGAATCACTTATGCACTTTCAACCAAACATTCAGCTTCTACTTTAGTTCTTTGGTTTGATTTTGGGTTTTACGGTTTTACATTTCAATACCTAAATAATTGAATAAACTGAACTAATTAAAATATGGATTTTTTTTGTTAATTATTTAGCATATATTAATCCTCCATCCTAATATCACCGATAGTTTCTGATTTCTTGTGCTAAAATATTACGGAGTACTTTTTATGTTTTGCTTAGCTTAGCTTAAAAATGCATTTACACATTCATTACCTATAATATAGTTATATTGATCTATTATTATTGTTTTTAATTAGACTTTTGTAGTAATTATGCATATGTAATAGGGAGAAGGCTCAAAAATGACATTAAGGTTATTTAAGAAGTTCTGATTGGACACTAAACTTCTAAATGGACCAATTTAATACATAAACAACTTTTGTGAGCAACATTTGGCCACCCACAAGTCACAACCATCCTCCCCGCGTTAAGTTGTCAACAACCCTTTATCCCCTCCACCCCAAAAGCTACAAACGATACCCAAATCAAGGAATTGCTCTCATAGTTGTTAATCCATTCACATATCAATTGCCATTCTTTATGTAGTTCACAAACACTTAATTGCCGATGTTATAATTCTTGGATTATGAACCTAACCCCTGCTCCATGTCTTCCGACCATTGTCGTTGTCAAAAACACCAATGCATCTGGTGTCATAGGTTTTGCAGCAAGCTCTAGTCAATTATGTTGCCAACTGTGGTACTGGAAAACTTTTTCCGTGTCCGGAGATGCTGCTACACCGGTAGAAATGTAGAATGAATCGGTGGGATGCTTCTTTCTCTGAACAATTAATGGAAAAGTGTCATCCTCTGCCCAGATTCATCTTGTAATGGGGGAATAATCAGGAGAGCTCCTTTTAGCATGAACGGCAAACTCGAGGTCACTGTTGTGCTTGTTGAGATCGGATTCAAATCAGGGAAGCTGAGTAGATTAACGGAGGAGCTGAGGCCAATTAGCTGAGGGGCAAACTGGTTAGCCGCCATCTTTGAAAAGCTGGCATACTTGGCGGGTCTTGATGAGCAGGAATAATTGCTTGGGCAATTGGGTATCCCCGTCTTCCAATAGCGAATCACAGTAGCCTTGGGCATGAGGGGGTTCAATTCGCTGGAATCCCCTACTTTCAGGCACATAAGAGCCAGATAAGGAATTAGATTTCATTTGACAAGATGAGATGTGTGTAAAATTACTCACTCATGTTGAATCGTACAGAGACTAGACGAGAAGATGATGATTGTTGAGTTGATTCATTATCCTCATACAGGCACTAGAAGAAAAGAAAATGACGGGAATATAGTAGGTGGAGCGAGAAGGGGAGACGTGAAACACACCACATTGCATAACGTTAACTTTGGGAAACACCGTTAAATTGAAATGGTATTAGGTGGCCAAAAGTTACTCAAATAAGTGACTCGTGTGTTTATTTGGTCCCTTTAAAACGTTAGTGTCCAATTTGAACTTCTTAGGTAACCTCGGAGTCTTTTTTGAGCCTTCCCCCCATGTAATAACTAGAAAGAATGGCACTAATATTACTTGTACACTTTGGATGGACAAAAATATGACCTGTTTTGACCTGGACAAAAAAGTGACCCGTTAAAATAAAAAAAAAAGCCTCCATTCTCTCTCCAACGCTCCATCTATAGCCCGTCTTCTAAGCTACCCACAATCCTTCGACAATAATTGCAACCTGTAGAGAAGATGGCGACCAGACCCTTGCGACGAAGATGGTGACCAGACCTTGCGCCGAAGATGGAGAACAGACGTCATCCTTCTTCTGCATCGTTTCGGTGATGAAGAGTTATGGCGACGTCGGCTACCCCGCTGCTGCAACTCATTCCACTTTCTTCACCGTTAGCTCCATCACTCTCCTCGTCATCACCTTTGCAACTGACCGCCTCCACCACTGCTTTGATTCTTGTCTTCGACGTTTTCTTCTATTTTTGGTTACTCGCGATCATCGGAAATGACTTGATTAGTTTTCAATAACTGAGATTGGGGATTAGGGGAAAGAGATTGGCGTTTGGTTTTTGTTAATTGGGATTAGGATGATGATTCTGCAATTGACATTGTTTGCTGAAGTTTACGATTGAGATGGTTGGTTTGGAGGAGATGTTGAAGGAGGGGCTGGAATGGAAGGGTTTGTGGCAGGGCTACGGAAGAGAATGGGCGGAGATTGCTGGGAAGGGGGGTTTTGGGGCTGGGGAGGGGCTGGTAGGCTAGGGAGCAGGCTGGTATGCTGAGGAGGGGGCTGGTGGGATAAGGAGGGGGCTGGTGGAATAGGGTGGGGGCTGGTGGGATGAGGAGGGGGGCTGGTAGGCTATAGAGGGGACATTTAATCATTTGACGACCTTCCCGATTGAAGTTTTTGCTGAATTTGGTATGGATGAACTAGACTTGATGAGGAACATACACAAAAAATTTGAGAAAAAATACCATCGGGAAGGCCCCAAATGGAGGAGGCCGGACGGGGGTTCCTGTCCGGAATTTCCGGACAGGAATATTCCTGTGTATATATGTATATATGTGTGTGTGTGTGTGTGTGTGTGTATATATATATATATATATATATATATATATATATATATATATATATATATATATATATATATATATATATATATATATATAGGACAGATCGTATCAGGCCAGCCTGACGGGAACCGCCGTCAGGCCGAGGCCATTTGGGGACCTTCCCGGTGGAATTTTTTGATGAAATTTTTTTAGCATGTTTCTCATCAAGTCTAGTTTATCCATGGGAAAATTTCCTAGATGTGACTAGAAGATAGACAACTCCCCAAAATATGACTAGAAAACTCCCGTGCCTTTAATATGAGTAATTGGATGGTGCAAGGCATGATGCATCATCATACATCCAAATTAAATACCCTAATACCCTTGACTATATAATCATACATAGACGTTCTCCGCATTAATGTTTGAATAAGGAAACATGCATCCGTTTTTTAGGCAGCACTTCGTATGCATTAATTATCATCACATCCATAAAACCGAAAAGTGTCCTGCTCCATTAGCATTAAAATATCACCTAACTAAAAATACGACAATGAAGGGGAATCTTGTCGCCGCAAAGATGACAGTGGATATATATAGGGCAGTGAATATATATATATATATATATATATATATATATATATATATATATATATATATATATATATATATATATATATATATAATATAGGGCAGTAATTTTTGGACAGTAAAATATTAAACTGAAGTGAATTGTATGATGTTTTCGAAAAATAAATTGAATGTGTGAAAATCATGTAGAACTTAAATATGGTTGGGCAGTAAATAAAATTATGGCCTACATGTAATTATTTTTTAAAATTTTCACTTTATTCACAAAGCAAATTTTCACTTTAACCATAATAATGTTTTTGGAGAGTAAATTTTGGGCAGTAAAACGAAAGTGTTTGTTGTGTGTAGTTTGAATGAAAGGCAGTAATTTGAAGTGTGTAGACCGTAATACAAAGCAATCGTGAATGTGTGGAAATTGATGGTTTTGGACAGTAAATTGATGGTGTAGACCCGTTTCAGATTTAGCGAGTCAGGTTGCTTTGCATGATGGTTTTGGACAGTAAATTGAATGTGTAGAAAGTATGTATAACTTAAATATGTTTGGGCCATAAATTAAATGTGAATAGGCAGTAAATAAAATTATGGCCTACATGATTGTTTTTTACTTTATCGAGAATGCATATTTTTCATATATTATGTGCGATTGAAAATTAGTGGATAAGCAGTTATTGTGTAAAGTCCAAATTATAAGAATGCTATTAAATGTAGCCGTTTATGGTGATAAATAATATCGTGTCAATTCCTAATTTTTAGGAATAAGAAATTCTATTTTGTTTGCAATGAGGAATTGTTTCCTTATTCTTAGGAGGACAGTTAATATGTTTACTCATTGGAGGACACAAGTGGAATTAAAATAAATAATAATGATGCACACATGCCATCTATATTATGCTAGCATCGTATCAGGGGAAAAAAACTCATTTAGTCATACATTGGGAAGTGGGAACTTCATGTTCTTTTAGAGCCCGTTTGGAGACCTCTTTTTTCGGCTTATCAGGCTTATCAGCCAGCTTTTTCACCAAACACGTAACTTTTACTTTTGCAAACCCCTCTTCCCCACGAACATGACCTGTTCTTCTAAAGCTTTCAGATTACCTAAATTGAAAGAAAAACAGAAAATAAGATCAAAGCACACATCAATCAATATGTTTCCCAAATGACTTGCAGTTGTACACCACAATTTTGTATTTTCCTCTATAAACATATTGAGACAAATTTGACCCCACCCCCAATTTATAGAAGGTAACATGTTAGAAAAATGACAAAACAGCCTAAAAGCTGTGAAACTGCATTCCAGCCAAGCCAGTGATCTACTATAAAAGAGTGACAGAAGAGAATTTCTTTCTAGAGCAGCAAAATAAAGCTGGCTTACCTCCAGTTCTACCTGCATCTATTAAATAAGTTCAACGGGATCCCCTGAAATGCCACGAAAATAAATAGCAATGTACACCTAGAGATTAAAATTTCGAAAACTAAGGAGAGTTAATTAAATTGAAAAACTTACAAACCTTTAGATCTCTCTTCAATTGGTTGATGCTTATTCCTCAACTCTTGTAATTAAAATTCGGTAACATTTTGATAGTTGGCCTCTTCCAAATGGAGGATGCTTCATTTTTGTTCTAGATAGCACCTGGTCAGGTCTGCAATAAAGAAAATAGATTAGTTAGTTATGTCAACGATATATCATTTTTATGTGGATATCTCATATTCATCATAAAAGATAATCAACAATAACAATCACAAGATCTTAGCATGTACCTCGGCCGCCAAAGAGTACTATGATATTTTAGTGATTCAAAAAACACAGCTT